TAACCAATGACCATGGCTGTTCCCCAATAAAATTTTTTTAAAGATGGACAGAGCTGAAGGAAGAAATAAACAGTTCTACAATAATAGTAGGAGAGTTTGGTATTCCACTCCTGATAATGGATGGAACAGCCAGACATAAATAAGTAAGGAAATAGAGGACGTGAGCAACCCAATAGAGGCCTACTTAGATCTGACAGATACGTGCAGAGCACCCCACCCAATAACAACACACATATTCTTCTCAAATGGAACATTCTCCATGATAAACCATGTGTTAGGCCACAAATTAAGTCTCAACATTTTAAAAAGGTATCATATGGCCTTTTGAGCATTTTGAGCCTTGCCTCTGCTCGGGGCCTGCTCCAAACTCTTTGGAGTGTACTTTGTTTTCTAATAATGGCCCTTGAGCCATTCTCTACTTTTTCTCCCACTTCTGCTTCTTTGAAATGTATTTTTACTTCTAATAAACTTTTCTGCAACTTTAAAATAAAAAAAAATAATAAAAAGGTATCATATGTATATTCTCTGACCACAACTCAATAAAGTTAGAAATCACTAACAAAAGGAAAACTGGAAAATTTACAGACTTGTGGAAATTATACACTCTTAACACAACCAATGGGTCAAAGAGCAAATCACAGTGAAGTTAGAAAATACTTAGGAATGAGAATGAAAATACAACATACCAAAACTTAAGGGATGCAGCAAAAAGGGTTCTAACGGGGAAATTTACAGCTATAAATGCTAACATTAAACAACAAGAAAGATCTCAAATCAACAATGTAACTTTACAGCATAAGGAACTAGAAAAAGGAGAACAAACTAAATGCAAAGCTAGTAGGTGGAAGGAAATAAAGATTAGAACAGAAATAAATGACATAGAGAATAGAAAAACAATATAGAAAATCAGTGAAACCAAAAAGTTGGTTCTTTGAAAAGATCAACAAAATCAACAAACCTTTAGCTAGGCTAAGGAAAAGAAGATTTCAATTACTAAATCAGAAACGAAAATGGGTACATTACTACTGATTCTACAGAGATAAAGTATTAGAAGAGAGAACTATGAACAATTGTATACCAACAAATTGGATAACCGAGATGGAATGGACAAATTCCCAGAAACACAAAACTTACCAAGACTAAACCATGAAGAAATAGACAATCTGAATAGACCTATAGACCTATAAGGAGGTTGACTTGGTAATAATAATAATAATAATAATAATTACAACAAGTTCCCAACAAAGAAAAGTTCTAGCCCTGATGGCTTCACTGTTGAATTCTACCAAACATTTAAAGAAGAATTAACACCAATACTCCTCAAACTCTTCCAAAAAATTGAAGAGGGAACACTTCCTAACTCATTCTATGAGGCCAGCATTGTCCTGACACCAAAACAAGAAAAAGACACAAGTTAAAACTATAGAACAGTATTTCTTATGAACATTGATGCAAAGATCCTTAACAAAATACTAGCAAACAGAATTCAGCAGCATATTTAAAAGACTATACACTGTGACTAAATGGCATTTATTCCTAGGATGGAAAGATGTTTCAGCATGTGAAAATCAGTCAAAGTAATTTGTCACATCAACAAAGTGAAGGAAAACCCTCATGATCATCTGAACTGATGCAGGAAAAGCATTTGACAAAATCCAACATGCTTTCATGGTAAAAACACTCAACAATTAGGAATGGAGGGAACACTTCAACATAATAAATGTCATATATGAAAAACTCACAGGAAAAATACTCAGTGGTGAAAGACTAAAAAGCTTTTCCTCTAAAATCAAGAGCAAGGCGAGGATGCCTACTCGTACCACTGTTATTCAACATAGTACTAGAAGTTCTAGCCAGAGCGGTTAGGCAAGAAAAAGTAATAAAAAGCATCTACATTGGAAAGGAAGAAGTAAAATCATCTCTGTTTGTAGATGACATGGTCATATATATGCGGTGTGATCAAAATATACAGTGAATGTTTAAAAAAAATTATAGTAGGGGCTGGCCGAGTGGCGCGATGGTTAAGAACTCGCTTGGGATGCCAGAGGGCCCCGGTTCGGATCCCACATATGAGGGCCAGTGACACTGCCCTCTACAGCTAAGATGCTGAACAACAGCTCAACCTGGAGCTGGGCTGCCATGAGTTGCTGGCGGCGGCATAGGCTGCAGTCCCTGTGGCAGTGGGTTGCCATGGGCTACCATATGTAGCCAGCAGCCTGCGTGAGCGGCCAGCAGCCGCAGTGAGCGGCCGTCCAGAAGCCAGCGACTGATCTGCCTCACCAGGGAAGAGCGCAATGATGGTGCCAACTTGAGCCAGTGAAGCAGCGTCCTCCACAACTAGATTGAAGAACAAAACGACAGCAACTTGTCTGTTCCCCTTCCCCTAATTCCCCAGTACTGTTCCCATCCCCCCAATTACCCAATAAAAAAAATCTTAAAAAAAAAATTATAGTAAAAGACACATTGCCATTAATCCCCCTCAAAATACTCCCCTTCACTTCAAACACACTTATCCCATCCTTCTTGCCACTTACTGAAGCAGTTCTGGAACTCCTCTTTCGTGAGCATCTTTAGTTGTGCTGTCGTGGCTGCCTCGATGTCCTAAATCATTTTGACTTTGGGGAAGAGCCAGAAGTTGCAAGGTGCCAGATTCAGTGACTAAGATGAACACATCGTACTGTTTTTTCTTTGACAGAAATTGCCGTATACCAGAAGCGATGTGTGACATGGAGCATTGTCGTGATGGAGGATGAAAGTGTTTGCCCATTTCATGTTAATGCATTGTTTGTGATCCATGATTTACGGCACACTTTAAAACATGCCTTCTCTTGGGCTGGCCGAGTGGCACGTTGGTTAGGAGTTGGCTTGGGACAACAGCTCTGAACATCAGGGCCCCAGTTCGGATCCCACATGAGGGCCAGTGACGCTGCGCCCTCCACAGCTAAGATGGTGAACAACAGCTCGACCTGGAGCTGGGCTGTGGTGAGTCGCCAGCGACAGCATAGGCTGCAGTGTGGCTGGCCAGCAGCAGGTGTGAGCTGCCGTGAGCCGCCATAAGCGTCTGTCCAATGGCCAGCGAACGACTGCCTCACCCGGGAAGAGCACAATGATAATACCAACATGGGCCAGTGAAGTGACGTCCTCCACAACTAGACTGAAGAACCAAAGGACAGCAACTTGTCTGTTCCCCTTCCCCAATTTCCCAATGCTGTTCCCTCCCCAAATTCCCATATAAAATCTTTTAAAAAAAGATAGAATCGTCTGGACGCTGATGGTAACCACTTGGAGCATCTCTTGTAATTGCAGAAGTCAAATGTGACTTGTATTCATCTTCTGTTATTGGTATATATTGAGTATTACAATTTTAATACAGTATTCCTTTATTAAAATGTGTATGCTGTTTTTGGATTATATGCCTATATATCTATATATTTATATATATATATCTATATCTATATCATCTGTATCTATATAGATACCTGTTAGAACTAATAAATTTAGCAAAGTTGCAGGCTACAAAATTAACACAAAAAATCTGCTGCATTTCTATACAAGAACAATGAACAATCTGAAAAGGAAATTAAGAAATCAATTCCATTTACAATAGCATCAAGAAAAATAAAACAATTAGGAATTAAATTCGCTATGGAGGTGAAATTCTTGCACACTGAAAACTACAAAAAATTGCTGAAAGAAATTAAAGAAGACAAATAAATGGAATGACATCCAGTGTTCATGGGTTGAAAGACAATATTGTTAAAATGTCAAGACTACCCAAAGTGATCTATGGATTCAATGCAATCCGTGTGAAAATCCCAGTGATTTTTTTTTTCAGAAATAGAAAAATCCATCCTAAAATTCATATTGGAATCTGAAGGGAATCTTGACATAGTTGGAGGATTCACATTTTTTTTTATTTCAAAACTTACCATAAAACTTGGTAATTAAAGCAGTGTGGTACTGGCATAAAGACAGACATATACACAGACCAATGGAATCGAGAGCCCAGAAATGAACCCTCACATATATGGAAAATGATTTCTGACAAGGATGTCAAGACTCTTCTGTGGGGGAAGGGTAGTCTTTTCAACAAATGCTAGGGAAACTGGATATCCACATACAAAAGAATGAAGTTGGACCCTGACTAATACTATATACAAAAATTAACTCAAAATGGGTCAATGACCTAAACTTAAGAGCTAAAACTATGAAACTCGTGGAAGAAAAAAATAGGACAAAGCCTTATGACATTGGATTTGGTACAGATTCCTTGGCTATGACACCAAAGACACAGTTAGCAAAAGGAAAAATTTGATGTGAAAAGTTTTAAATTTTGTGCATCAAAAGTCACTATCAACACAGTAAAAAGGCAACGACAGAATGGCAGAAAATATTTCAAACGATTTATCTGGTAAAGGATTAATATCCAGAATATAGAGAGAACTCCTAGCAATCAACAGAAGAAAAACTAACCAAACAAACAAAACACCTGATTCAAAAATGGGCAAAGGACTTGAACAGACATTTCTCCAAAGAAGGCAAAGGAGCACAAGAAAAGGTACTCAGCATCACTAATCATCAGGGAAATGCAAATCAAAACCACAGTGAGATATCACTTCACAGTTATTAGAATGGCATCATCAAAAAAGCAGAAATCCACAAGTGTTGTCAAGGAAATGGAGAAACTGGAACCTTGTGCACTTGGTGGGAATGTAAATGACGTGGCCACTGTGGGAAATGGTGTGGAGGTTCCTCAAAAAATTAAAACTAGAGCTCCCCTTCCTTATGACCCAGCAATCCCATGTCTGGATATTTAGAACTGAAAGCAGGGTCTCAAAGAGATATTTGCACACTGTGTTCTCGGCAGCATTATTCACAGTAACTACAACCCAAGTGCCCATTGACGGATGAATGGATAAGCAAATGGAATATTACACACAATGGAATATTATTCAGCCTTTAAAGGAAGGGAATTTTGACACATGCTACAACCTGAAGAAACCCTGAGGACACTGTGCTGAGTGAAATCAGCCCGGACACAAAAGGACAAGTACCACATGAGTCCATGTAGGAGGCTCCTGGAGGAGTCAGTTCAGAGGCAGACAGTGGACGGTGGTGCAGGGGCTGGAGAGGGGCAGGGGGGAGTTAGTGTTTAGTGGTTTAGGATTTCAGTTTTACAAGATTAAAAGAATTAGAAGGATGGAGGATGCCAATGGCTGCACAATAATGTGAATGTATTTAATACCACTGAACTGTACACTGAAACGTGGTTAAGAAGGTACATTTCATGTTTTGTGTATTTTACCACATACAAAAAATGGGTACACAAAGAGCAGTGGTTGTTAGGCTGTGGGAGGAAGGGGTAGGTGGGGCACAGGGTTGGGGGGCAGATAAACTATTCTAGGTGATACTGTAATGGTGGGTGCACGGCATCACATGCTTGTCAAAACCCATAAAATGTCCACCAGCAGAAGTGAGCTCTAATGTAAACTATTGACTTAAGTTAGCAACGTGTCAATATTGCCTCATTGATTGTGAGCCACATGCAGCAGTAATACGAGGTGTCCCAACAGGGAGAGTGTGGGCCTGACGGGGTCAGCGGGGACACTCGGCTTTCTGCTCAGTTTTTCTGAAAACATAAGACTGCTCAAAAAATCAAGTCTATTAGAGAAAACAACGGCTTCCCATTAGCCAGAACCAGCCACAGAGCCACCGCTATGCAGAGGAGGCTGGGAGAGCAGAGTGTCCTCTCCTGGGCTGGGGACATGGTCCTTCACCCATAGAATCTGGTTAGCAAGGTGCCACTAGGTGACCAGACCCCACATCTCAGCCTCCAGGCTGCTCACCGCTGCGAGCCACAAGTGCCGGCAGACTGCTCAAAGCCACGCTGGTCAGAGCCCTGCACGTGCCAAGCATCCCCCAGGGGCCAGGATTGGCCGAGCAAGGCCGCTTTACCGGCTTCTGCCTGGTTGGCAGACCCCGAACACCCCTGGAGCCACGCAGCCAGCCAGCGGGGGCGGTCCTGCTCTGCAGCTCTTCAGTGGTCTCCTCTGACCCCTCCCAGCCACCTCCTGTGCTCTGGGCTTGCTCAAGCCTATTCACTCAAGCCCACTAGTGATCAAAGAAAGTTGAAAATGAGGCGTCGTGTTCTAGCTATTAAATTTGGAAAGACTGACCACAGATACAACGCACAGAGCAGATGAGGCTGGTGACTCGCACCTTTGGTAATTGATGGTGTCAGCGGAAAGAATTTCAACCTCTGATGTATTGATGTGCGGAACCTGATAATGAGCCCCTCCCTGTGTCCTAGACTGCCAGAGGGAGGGACTGACTGAGCTGTGCACTTGGGGGTCATAAACATGGCACTCTGACACACTAATCACATCTCCAAGATCTTGGTTTAAGGAAATAAATGCAAAACAAGGAAATACACTCGGGCACAAAGCCGCTAACCAAAATCTTACTCATCATAAAGAAATACGGTGACCAGCTAGCAGAGGAGGTTCGTCGGTCTGTGAGACACACCCGTGATGAGCGTGCTGGTCAGAGAGTGAAGGAAGCATTGAGAATTTGCATTAAAATAAGGACAAAGTGGGACACAAGAGTGTCCATACGCTGTGCTCATGATGTGAGCCTGCTTGCCGCAGCCTTGCAGGCACCCCATCAGGGACCAGGGCAGTGAGCCTGGGAGAGTCAGCCCTCCATGTTTCAGGCTTCCTGTCTGGGCTCTGCGTCTAGGGGTGCCCCTGGGGGCCACCCTCGGACTGGCCAGGAGCCTGGGGCCACAGCTGCAGAGAGTATCCTCAACCAGCTTCCGACATTGGGGGTGGGCGAGCATGCAGCCTCCTTGCTGCCTGGAGGGCCCAGGTGTGCCCCCCCCAGCCTCCCGAGGGCCCTAGGGAGCCCACTGTCCAGTGCACCCTGGTTGGATTCCCGCCTTCCCCTGGCTCAATCCTGTTCCCCTGCTAGTGCCATCTGGGGTCACCTCTTAACTGAACTGTTTGCCCTGGAGTCCCAGTCTCAGGTCTGCTGCTGAGGGAGACCCAGGAGAAGGACAGAGACCCCACGTCGGGGCTGGGTCTCAGCACCTGCCAGCCAGGGTGACTGGGGGCGGGGCCTGGACGGTGCAGGTGGGGATGCCTGCTCACTGGTGGGCCTGGCCTGTTGAATCTTCTCTCCAGACTCAGGGCTGACGGGTGGGCCACAGCCTGCCCTGGTCCCCTCCCCCACCTCTGTCTTCTGGGACCTGCACTTGGGCAGCTCCCTCTGGGTCAGGCCAGGGTCCATGAGGCAAAGACCCGGAAAATAGCAGGTTCCTTCTTGCAGCTGCCTCCAGCAGGTGGCTGCATGGAGATGTTCCCTACAAGCTGCCATTATCAGCTCAGCCTTGGCAAGGGGGCCAAGGTCTGGCCCATCCTGGTGATAGGGAGATCATTATCGGGAGGGAGCAGAAGATGAGAACCAAGCGCCAGGGCCCAGGTGGGGCGGCCGCTGCATGGGTTCCCAGTCACACACTGGCCAGCCAGGGTTGGGGGAGGATTGAGGGAGGGGGGGGGCAAGGCTTTCACGTCTGGGACCTCTGTGCAGGGTCAGACCCCAGCAAGCTGGTCTCCCCCTCCACCCAAAGGAGACTTGTCACTGTGTCACTCCACCCCTAAATTGTCCCTCTGTTATCGGGCTGTTAATATTAATTAACAACAGTTGCTAAGGATGACAGTGCAAGGGTGTGTCACATCCAGAGCTGGCCTTGTCCCAAGAGGGGGATGGGGACAGTGAGGGGTCTGAGGCCGGGTGGTGTGGGGGCATGTAGAGGGGTCAGTGGAGGTTCAGAGTGCCATGCTGAGCCCACCCATGTCTCCCCAGCAGAGGCCGAGTGTGCGGCCGTGGCAGGTCTCCAGCTGGCTCAACCCTGGCTTAGATCGATTTGGGAAGTGGGTGAAGGGGAGACCCTGCACCTCCACCTGGAGACTCATCTACGAGGGTGGGGCCAAAGGTGGGAGGGGCCAGTGAGGTGGATCATTAATCCTGCTAGAAGTAGGGGAGGTGTGGGCTCAGCCTGATTGGTCCCCAGCCCAGTCAGGCCAGGCTGTCTCTGGCAGGGAGCCGACCTGCTGTGCGTCCCCTAGCTAGCCCTTGGGTGTCCAGCTGTCCCAGTAGCCAGGCCCCACTTCCCTCTAATCCCTTCCCGGTGCCAGGATGGCAGAGGCCAGCCTGGGAGGCTGGCTGTTCTGGGCCCTGCTCCTGCATTCGGTGAGTCTGGCGCCTGTGTCCACCCTGCCGCCTCCCATTGGGGTGGCAGGGGCTGTTTGGTGAGGGAGGACCTGGATCTGGGGGCTGGTCTTTGGGCAGATGAGGGATCCCAAGAACCCCAGAGGAAGGGAGTGGGTGGGGGTCCTGGGCTGCCCAAGTCTCCAGCTCATGGGGTTAGATGGACACAAGGGTTGGGGAGGGGGCAGCTGGACTGGGTGTGACTGAGTGTCTCCCATCCCTAGTCCGTGTGGACACGGTGGCGGCGTGGCGTGGCGTGGGGTGGGGTGGCTTCCCAGAATCTCACTGTGGACTCGGCAGCTGGGTCTGGGAGGAGGTCTGGGAGGGGTCCTGCCTCTCATGTTTCTTTCCCACTTGTTCATCTGGGAGGGCCGGTGAAGGCACTTGGCCCCAGGCAGGCCCTGTACAGAAGCCCCAGCAGGGCCCCTGGCATCCGGCCTGGCCTGTAGCTTGGGACCACGGAGGCCAGCAGCCTTGTGCGCCTGTGCGCAGGGCTCCGTGCCCACTCAGCTCCTTGGAGTGGGTCTTGGACCCATCCAGGGGCAGTTTTTAGCAGGACCTCTCAGCAGCCTCCAAGGGTCTCCCCCTGCCCCTTCACCTCTGGCCTGACCTTGCTACATGCAGGTCAGTGGGTCGCCTCCTTCTCGCCAGTGACTTGGGCACTCAGGACGAAGGGCCGGGCGCACCCATCCTCCTGTCACCCCAGACACCACTGGGGAGTCCCCCGGCTCCACTCCCCCCAGGGCTGCCGGCGTCCACCGCCCAGCCCTCCTGCGCGGAGGCCGTCCCAGCCCCGGTGCCCCGGCCCGCCGAGCCCACGCTAAGGCGCCCCGCTCCGCAGGCCGGGGGCGAGCTGTACACGCCCACGCACCAGCCCGGGTACTGCGCCTTCTACGACGAGTGCGGGAAGAACCCCGAGCTGTCCGGAAGCCTGGCCTCGCTGTCCAACGTGTCCTGCCTGTCCAACACGCCCGCCCGCCTCGTGACGGGCGACCACCTGGCCCTCCTGCGCCGCGTCTGCCCCCGCCTGTACGCCGGCCCCACCGCCACCTACGCCTGCTGCTCCCGCAAGCAGCTGGTGTCCCTGCAGTCGAGCATGGCCATCACCAAGGCCCTGCTGACCCGCTGCCCGGCCTGTTCCGACAACTTCGTGAGCCTGCACTGCCACAACACGTGCAGCCCCGACCAGAGCGCCTTCATCAACGTGACGCGCGTGGCCGAGCGCAAGGACGGCCAGCCGCCCGCCGTGGTGGCCTACGAGGCCTTCTACCAGCGCAGCTTCGCCGAGGAGACCTACGCGTCCTGCAGCCGCGTGCGCATCCCCGCGGCCGGCTCGCTGGCCGTGGGCGCCATGTGCGGGGTGTACGGCTCCGCGCTCTGCAACGCCCAGCGCTGGCTCAACTACCAGGGCGACACGGGGAACGGCCTGGCGCCCCTGGACATCACCTTCCACCTGTGGGAGCCGGGCCAGGCCCCGGGCGGCGTGATGCAGCCTCTGGCCGCGAACGTCACGCGCTGCAACGAGTCCCGGGGGGACGGCGCGGCCGCCTGCTCCTGCCAGGACTGTGCGGCGTCCTGCCCGGCCATCGCCCAGCCCCAGGCCCTGGACGCCACCTTCCGCCTGGGCCGCATGGCCGGCGGGCTGGCCCTGGTTATCATCCTCGTCTCTGTCCTCGCCGTGCTCGCCACCGCGCTCACCGCCTGCCGCGCGTGGCCGGGCCGGGCGTCCTGCGGCTGCCAGGGCGGGACGCCGGCCCCCGGGGCGGACCCCGGCCTCTCCAGCAGGCTCAGCCTCTGGACCCACCACTTCCTCAGCCGGTGCTTTCGGTGCTGGGGCACGTGGGTGGCCTCGTGGCCGCTGACCGTCCTGGCTGTGTCCGTCGTTGTGGTGGTGGCCTTGGCTGCGGGCCTGGCCTTTATAGAACTGACCACGGACCCCGTGGAGCTGTGGTCAGCCCCCAACAGCCAAGCCCGGAAGGAGAAGGCGTTCCATGACCAGCATTTTGGCCCCTTCTTCCGAACCAACCAGGTGATCTTGACCGCTCCCCAGCGGCCCAGCTACAAGTACGACTCCCTGCTGCTGGGGCCCAAGAACTTCAGCGGGGTGCTGGCCGCCGACCTGCTGCTGGAGCTGCTGGGCCTGCAGGAGCGGCTGCGGCACCTGCAGGTGTGGTCGCCCGAGGAGCAGCGCAACGTGTCCCTGAGCGACATCTGCTTCGCGCCCCTCAACCCGCACAACGCCAGTCTGTCCGACTGCTGCATCAACAGCCTCCTGCAGTATTTCCAGAATAACCGCACGAGCCTGCTGCTCACGGCCAACCAGACGCTGATGGGGCAGACCGCCCAGGTGGACTGGAGGGACCACTTCCTCTACTGCGCCAAGTGAGTCTCCCACCGCCGGTGGGGGGTGGCGCTGGGGGTGGCAAGGCCCGTGGAGCCAGGCCAGTCACACAGCCGCCAAGGACCCCACATCTGCTCCACATCTCTGTCTCAGGGGCTGCAATGCTGTTCCTCTCCATGTTCCTTCTCAGCCCCACGCCTCATGTGGGCTCCTGCTCACTGGAGCAGATCTGCACGAGGCCATCAGGCCTTCCCAGCCCCAACTCCTGACACAGCAGGGGTGTGCTTGCCCTCTCTCGGCTCACACATCACAGAGCACTCTGATGGCCCTGCTCTTGCATCTGCTTCTGTTTCCTCTTTGCCTCTGGGCGGGCCAGCAGAGCTGTGGGAAGCTAGACAAGTGTCCTAGAGCCAGCGCAGGGGCTGCAGCTGGTCTCAGGCCCCGATAGCCTGGCCTGGGTGTCCCTGAGCAGGCCACAGCCACGGCTCCTCCCACCGTTTGTGGTGGTGCAAACTGGATGCCAAAAAGGCCCCTGGGCCTCAGCCAGGAACCACCCACCCCACCTGGAGGGAGCAGGTGGGCAGGTGGGTTCTCTGAGGTTGGAGAGGGCAGAGGTCCCCAAATGTCCAATCTCAGGGCCCCTTCGCACTCTGACAGAAGGCTGAAGACCCCACAGAGGCCTGGTTTGGGTGGAGGTTACGTCCACTGACATTTGCCATGTGAAGGTGGAAAACAGCAGTGACAAAATATTAATTCTTTAAAAATAACAATAATAAGCCCATTCTATATTGACACAAGTGGGATATTTTTATGAAAAAATAACTATATTTTCCAAACAAAAAAATCAGTGATAAGAGTGGCATGTTTGCAAATCTCTTCAGTGTCTTGAAGGGGCTGGATTTGGCATCCAGTTCTGTGTAGTGACAGCACTTGGCTCACCCTGCACCCCAAAGAGGGAGGCGTGTTGAGCCGGCCTTTCCTGGTAATTGTGCATTTTCTTGGACACTACCCTGAAACGCAGCTGGTGGGTTGTTTTTTTTTTAAAGGTTTTTTTATTGGGGAATTGGGGGAAGGGGAACAGACAAGCTGCTGTCCTTTTGTTCTTCAGTCTAGCTGTGGAGGACGTTGCTTCACTGGCCCAAGTTGGCACCATCATTGCGCTCTTCCCAGGCAAGGCACATCAGTCGCTGGCTTCTGGACGGCCGCTCACTGCGGCTGCTGGCTGCTCACGCTGGCTGCTGGCCG